CCTGGCTCCCGTCCGCCTCACCTGAAGGACACGACACAGGCCTCCCCACACTGGCTTTTTCCCCAGCGTGACACCTCACGTGTCCACAGCTGGTCCCAGTGAGCAAAGCAGTGTGCACCCTTGGTCAGTATGGGAGGGACCTTTGCAGCTGTGCAGAGAGCTGCAGTAGGTGTTCCTGTGGAGCCTTCGTGTGGAAGTCCATTTGCCCTCCCTGTGTGGATCCTCGGTTGCAGGGGAACAGTGCAGTTAGCTTTCTAAGCAACTGCCCAGCCTTCCTGGAGACTGACCAGTGATAGATGAGCTCCGGAAGTCCACCTCCTTGCCAGTACCAGGTGTTAGTGTTGTTCATTTTGAGTAAGATTTCCTAAATTGGGGTGGAGTCCAGTTCATCTGCTTCCTGTCCTGTTGCTTGTCTCCTGTGGACACCACACTGTCTCAGCGCCTTGCAGGGCATGCTGAGTGTGGGTGTCTGGGAGCTAGAGCTCAGTCCACCTTGCTCTCCACTCCCAGGTAGTTGGGACCATTCTGCTCCTTTGCCTTTTTATGTAAAATTTAAAGTCAGCTTCCTGGATTTCATAGGAGTAGTACTGAGTCTGCAGGTCAGTTTGAGGGGCATGGATAATAGCCATGAGCTTGGCCGTCTCTCCGATTGTTTAAATATTGGTTTTGTTATTTGTATTTGGGAGTTTCCAGCATACATACAGATCTGCGTTTGCTTTAGACCTAAGCGTTTCCTTTGCTCAGAGTCGTTGGAAGTGTGTGTTTTCCAAACTGACCTCCAGGTGTTTCACCTCCAGCATGTGGCCTGTCGTTGCTTCCCAAGATGGCCTGGTGCCACACAGCCTCTCTGAGCTTCCTGGTTCCAGGGGTGCATGCGTCCTCATGTTCCCAGCTGCTTAGGTTCACACGCTCAGGTTTCCTTGCTCCCTACTAACCAAATCAGAGGAGGCCATTTACTTTGGTAAAAAGAAAGTGGGATTTATTTGGAGCTGGCTCTGAGAGATGGAAGGGCCCATTTGCCTCGAGTTGCCATCTCCTGGTGTTCGGGCATGGGGGTGTTTTACATATAGCAAGGCACAGTGGGAGAGTGGGTACAGGGAAACAGCAGACTTATTGAGGCTCAGTCCGTCCCTTCTGAACCTGGACCCCTCCTCCCTCGGACCCAAGGGAATGGAACTGGACTTGACCTCCTGGATCAGCGTCTGCCCATTCATCTGGGTGAGAGGAGGAGAGGTGGTGGTTTATGCCCTAGGCCTAAGGACGTATAAAGAAGTCACTTGTCTCTAAAGAAAAAGTCTAACTTTAAAGTTCCATTTTGGAGTGGCATTTACACTCACATTTCCGTCAGTACTTGGATTTCCTGCCCTCGTGGTCATGGAATCTGCCAGGGAGTGGTTGACCTCCCCTTCCTGTCCTTGGGCCTATGTTTCTTTCCTCACCTGAGTGCTGACAGCTAGGGAGGAGGTGTGGTGGCCTCTGCCTGTCCTCTGGGCAGTGGTCAGGCCCTCACTGCCTGGTCAAGTTTGGGCTCCACATAGTTTGTAGATCTTGTCAAATGGAGGAACTTCTTTCCCTTCCTCATTTGCTGAGAGTTTTCATCATGAGTAGCAGAATCTCCTGTTCACCTCTATTTATAACATTCTAGATTTTCCCTCACCTGCTCCTCAAGCTTTTCCAAATTCCCCCCCAAGTCTGTTCCAGGGGCCCCTAGACATTGTCATAGTCACAGCAATGGTCTCACTGTTGGTACCATCTTGGATGCTAATCACTGTGTCATGATAAAGTCCCTGAGATGACCAGCTCACAGTGATGAGAGGTTGATTTTGGCTCCTAGTGAGGTTTTAGGACCTGATCAGTTGTCCTATTGCCCTGGGCCTGGAGTGAGGCAGCACATGTAAAATGAGCATCCAGCTCACCTCATGGCCAGGAAACAAAGGGCTAAGAAAGGAGCTGGGGTCTCACCACCCCATTCAAGAGCATGGCCCCACTAGGTCCTACCTCCTTCCAACCACACCACAGTTGAGGACCAAGCCCTCAGCACATGGTCCCTGAGGGTCACTCATGCAAATCCTAGTGTTACATATTTGTTTCTTAGCTTGTTGATACAGTGAGTTACATTAATTTTCAAATGTTGAACCAGCCTTGCTTTCCTGGGATAAACCTTTTCTACTTAGTCGTGGAATATTACTAGTTATTATTTTTGAATATTGCTAGCTTTGGTTTGCTAGTATTTTGTTGGAGAACTTGCAGCTATGTTCTCTACTTTTGTCTAGTGTTGATAGCAGAGTAATGCTGATTCGGTATGATGACTTGGGAAGTGTTGCTTCCTCTTCTGTTTTCTGCAGGATATTGTGTAGTGTTGGCACTCTTCTTTTCTTCATCTCATGCTGCTGAGGATGGAACCCAGGGCTTTGTGCACAGCAGGCACGTACTCTGCTGCTGAGCCCCCATCTCCTCTTCTAATGTATGGTTGAATTTCCCTGAAGTTTTCTTTTTCAGAATGTTTTGAACTATTAATTCAATTTAATATAGGACTATTCCTGATCTCTGTTTTATCTCGGTGACTTTTGGTCCTTGGTGGCTTTCAAGGAATCTTTGCATTTCATTTTAAGTTGTCAAATTCATGTCCCTGGAGTTGTTTACAGTGCTTTCTAATCTTTTAAATATTTGTAAGGTCTGTAGTTCTTTTATTTATTGTTAATAACTAAAATTTTTGTCTTCTGTCTTTTTTCTTTGCCTAGAGGTTGTGTGAATTTTGTTGGTCCTCCCAAGAAACTGGCATTTGGTTTTATTTTCTCTATTTTTGGGTGATTTTTTTTTTTTTCCGGTACTGGGGATTGAACACTTATTTGCGAGGCAGGTGAGGGGGCACTGAGCTAAATACCCAACCCTTCTTTTATTTTATTTTTTTTTTATTTTCAAGTCAATTATTTCTACTTGTATCATTGTCTCCTTCCTTCTATTCCTTTGAATTTAATGTGTGCTTTTTGTTCCTATTTTTCTAAGGTGAAGTTTGGGTTGTCATCTGAAGCCTTTTTTATACAAGTATTTAGTGCTATGATTTCCCCTCTTGGCACTGCTTTCGCTGTGACCCACAAATATTGGCATGTTTCTTTTTCATTTTTATTCTAGTCAGTGTCCTCTGCTTTCCTTTGAGACATCCTTTCTGACCGTAGGTTATTTAGGAGTGTGTTGTTCAGTTTCCCAAGCCATTGGGACTTCCTAGCTGTCTTCCTATCACTGTGGTCACTCCTTACCTTCAGTTTCACGTTCCGTGGTTTTAGGGTCCCAAGTTCTATCACAGTCCAAAAATATTAAATGGAAAATTCCAGAAAAAATGGCTCCTGTTAGACTGTACCTGCCTGAGGTCACCCTTGTCCAGCACAAACACATGTATGAGGTTGGCGCTGCCCAAGGTGTGAGGCACCCCCAGCTTCCAGTGAGTCTGTGCTTTTTCTTGGTGGACTAGACTGACCAGGTCCTGCTGGAAAGATGCCACCTGGGGCGTGCCAGGGACCCCATGGAGTCACACAGCCCAGCTGGTGGCTTTGAGGGGGTCCATTGGGACCTGCTTGTGCCCGAGTTGTCTTACCCGAGGATGTAAGGCACACTCTGCCCCCTTGCTGTGGCCTTCCTCTGCCTTCCTCACTGGAGAATGGTCCTTGTTGGTGCCATAGACTGACCTGTCCCTGGTGAAGGGGCGGGGCACATCCTGCAGGAAGTGCCATCCCTGCCCTTGCCTCTTGAGCTCAGTGGAACCACTGGGCTCAGTGCAATGGGGCTGGTGGGCTGACAGGTGCCCAGGAGTCCACACCACACAGCCAGAGCTCACCTGACTCCCCACAGCCTGCAGGTGAATGGGAAGGATGAGTTGCTGGCCCTGTGTCCTTGCACACAGTCCTTGGGCCCCTAACAGAAGTGCTGGTGTTTGCTCCGATGGTAGAGGGCTGTGTCCTGGGCAGGGTTGTGCCTGGCATCTGCCAGTTTGGGTACACTTTGGGGCTGGCAGCTCAGGAGATCTCCCCAGTGAGATCCAGCACACTCAGCTAGGGATGTATTTCTCCTGGAACTTGGAACTGTAGGGCAGGTGGTGTGGCTTATTTCAGAGCATTGCACACTTGCTCCATGCTGGCCCATGGGCAGGATACTCTGCAGCGTTTGAGTAGAAAAGTGAGCAAGTTGCAGAGAGAGCTGGGAGGTCTGTGGAGAGCTGTGGTGTGGCACTGCTTGCCCGCACCTTCAGGAGCCAGTTGGTGCCTCGCAGGACATTCTGGGGGCTGTGCATACATGTGTGGACATACAGGTGTGCACATGTGTGCTGTAAATGTGTGTATTTGTGTACTGTGTGTGTATGTATCTGCACATATGTGTTGTGTGTGTCTGCATATGCATGTATAGCAAGGTGCCTTCAGGAAGATGTGCACCCATCTAAGGAGCCAGCTGCATGTGCCACGTTCTCCAGAGGCAGACAGGGTGACTCTGTGTCCTCTTCCCAGGGACAGAGCCACTGGACACTGGGCATGTCCCTCAGGTTGCCTCCGTGGTAGGCACTGTGTCCTGTGCTACCTTAGGGTGTCAGAGCAGAATGTGGAGGTGAACTCAGCAGGGGAGGGGAGGTAGTGGGGAGGGAGCACTCATACTGTTGTGAGGAGAGGCGGGGCCTAGGGATGAGTGGACTGTGGGATGGGGGACCATGCTCCCAAAGCTGGAGGCAGGCTTGGGTGGGGATTGGCTCCCTGGACTTCAGGGGCCTCCATTTTGTGATCTTACCTAAGGGATTCTCAGGCTTCCTGTCTGTCCTCTTTTCTGCCTGTCCTCTGAGCCACCTCCATAGCCAGGAGAGGAAGCCCTGGCCACCATGTGGAGGGACCCTTGGCGATGCTGCAGAAACCAGGCCTGTAGAGGGGCTCCTGGGAGTGAGATGGCCAGTGTCCAGCAAGTGTGACACTGGGGTAGTACTCCTGGGAGCCCCCAAGGCCTGAGCTCTTCATTCTTTTCAGGTTGTGCAGCTTGACCGTGAAGAAGCTGGCAGTTCTCAGGGAGCTGGAGAAGGAGCTGATGTCTGTGGTGATTGCAGTCAAGATGCAGGTGAGCGCCCCCCCACCCCAGCAGGTGTGACAGCACAAGGCTAGGTGGACCCTGCGCTCGAATCACTTCTGACACCTGTCACTGCAAAACGTACCACAGGATGAGGGGCTGGGTGGGAGGAATAGGAGCCCCATTCCTGGTGGGTCCTTGTGTTGAGCTTCAGTTTGGTTTCACTTGAGGTTTTGAATGAAGGGAAGAACCATCTCCTGCCCTGGCCCTCCCTCCAGGGGATGGCAACCAGTGGCTGGCCTAAATGGTGTCCTGGCAGCCCTGTGGGGCCGCAAGGTTCTGGTCTGCTTCCAAGGGACAGGGCATGTCTTTCAACCCCTGGCCACCTGGATGGCATCTCTTGTGATGTTGCATAGGGCCATGGCCCTGTGAGTGCCCCTGGCAAGGTGGCGACAGCTGACTGTTGCTGACCCTAGACCTTGGCCTTGGGAGCCCAGGGTCCTGCTGGGGGCTCCATGTTGACACCACCCATGCCACCTAATGTTCCCTGGACCTACAGGAGTGACATGCAGTATTTAGGGGCACAGCATGGCCATGGACCACCTTGTGGGCTTTGGGACTGGAGCCTGTCTTGATTCTTCTGCTCAGTTGTCCGCACCTGGAAAATACTGTGCTGCTGCTCCTGCCTCCCCAGTACCAGGGATTGAATCCAGGGTCTTTTTTAATCTTTTTTTTTTTTTTGGTACCGGGGATTGAACTCAGAACCTTGTGCTTGTGAGGCAGGCACGGTGCTACTGAGCTAAATCCCCGGCCCTTTAATTTTTAAATTTTGAGTCAGGTTCTCCCTAAGTCTCTTAATTTGCCCAGGGTGGGCTCAAACTCTCAGTCCTCCTGCCTCAGCCTCCTGAGTAGCTGGGATTTTAGGCGTGTGCTACCATGCCTGGCTAAGGTTGTGCTTCTAATAAAGATCTGGAGAGTGCCGGATGTTGTGGCACACACCTGTCATCCCAGCCACTCAGGAGGCTGAGTCAGGAAGCCATGTAAGTTGTTCTCTGAGCCCCTGGCTGGGGAGGGGCCATGGTCTTGCCAGGTCTGTAGAACAATGGCAAAGTTGCCAAAGTGAGAGTTGGCCCACTGTAGGCATCTGAGTCTGGCACTGTGGACCATGACCTCTGCCGGGCTGACCCTGTCCTTGGCCTCTGTGCCCCAGCCAGCCCTTTCCTCGGTCCTCCTCAGTCCTCATCACTGCTGAGCTCCCAGCCCTCCTGCATGCCCTTGTGGCCTGGCCAGTCTCCCCACCCCACAGCACCCTGTTCCTCACCTGTTTCTCCTCAGCACTCTCTCCAGCTCAGTTTATTTGTGTCCAGCGGGCTGGCAGGGCTGGAGGAAAGCCATAGCCTTCCTCTTTTCCAAGACTTCTCTGGCTGCTGTGCCAGCCCCAAGCCTGCGCCCTTACTCCCTAGCCTGGGAGAATGCTGGGCTCCTGCTGGGGCCTGTCTTTGCTTCCCATCGTAGCCCCCAGGTTAGTCCTGTGAGGCCAGAAGCTAAGACCACCCCTGTATTGGAACCACAGGAGCCCAGAGAGGAGGGAGGGGAGAGGGCTGCACAGGAGGGCTGCACTGGAGCTGAGCAGCTGGACAATGAAGCAGGCTCAGCCCTGCACGATGGGCACCCCACACCCAGGTGGCTTCCTCCTTTCTTCCCCTCCTGCCTCTCTTGCCCTCTCTGGAGCGGCCTGCCCACACACCCATCTAGTAACCCCACCTCTGCCCAGTTGCTCTGGATGCCTGAGGAGCGTGGTGTCAGGCTCCTGGCATGGCTGCCTGTCCTAACAGGTCTTCAGGGCTCCCCTGTTGTAAAAGATCCTTAAACAGCACTGTGACAGAGATCTGTAAAGCACTGGGAGCCCAGTTGTTGTAAAGATGGAGTTTGGGTCCTGCTGTTCGTTCTGAATGATGAGTTACCTACTTCCTGCTAGTCTGCATCTGCATCCAGGTCTCAAGTACTGTGACCATACTTGTAGGACAGTCACTGTGAGGGTCCTTGGCCTACATGGTGCCTACTCCACAGCCTTTCAGTTGCAGGTTGGCACTGTGTCTTCCTTCCTGTCTGTCTGGCAGGCTGATCATGAGCTCCCCTCACTCCAGCACAGATCTCACAGATTGGTGGACACAGGACAAGAACATTCTTGGGCTGCTAACTGTCCCACAGTTCCCCTGCAATTGCGCTTGCTTATGTCCCCGGCAGTGTGAAGAGCTCTGGTGACCCCTGTCCTGGGCCTGTCTCACTGTAAGATGCCCTTCTTTAATGGAAGGCGGCTGTCTCTTCACAGGGCTCCAAACGAGTCCTGCGGTCTCATGAGATTGTGCTGCCCCCCAGTGGACAAGTGGAGACTGACCTGGCCCTGACCTTCTCGCTGCAGGTGAGTGGTCAGTGCCCTTGGTGAGCACATGGCCTCCTCAGTGCCCCTTCATCCTTCTTACTTTTAATCTCCTCTTACTGTTTATTCTTTTTTTTTTTGGTACTGGGGATCAAACTCGGGTCCTTGCACTTGCGAGGTAGGCGGCAGAACCACTGAGCTAAATCCTCAGCCCTTACTGTTTATTCTTAAATGACTAGGAAGTTTTCTTGGTTTATTATGTTGTGCTTCATCCCTTTCCTGTGATAAAGGAAATGAAATGATGAAGCAAAAACATCAAGGTGAGGCCGTTTCATCCTCATACTTAGAAAAGATGGGCAGAAACATGTTGACATTGAGTGTGTTATGCATATTTCAGGGTGAGCTTAGTGGACTCGTGGCTCTGCATGGCCCCTGACTTCCCCACCCCGGACGAAGTAGAGACCCTTCCCCCACCTTCTCCAGAGCCTTGCCCTTTTGAGACAGCAAATCAGGCAGCTCATTCCAAACCCAGTTGATTGATTCCAGATCAATTTGTCCTAAGCCCCTTAAGATCCTCTTTTCTCCTTTAAACATGTGGAACTGCACTGTGGTTCAGAGAACTCCTGAGTCCCCACCAGCCCCACACCGGCCCTGTCACTGCATCTGCAGCCCTGGGAGCCCAGCTCCCTGAAGTGCAGTTTTCCATCAGGTAGCTCACCTGCTTTCTTTCAGTGCTTGGTCCTGGGCTTCTGAGACTCATGTGCAGGTGTGTGGCAGGCAGCCGGGCAGCCAGGGATGGGCCCTGCTGCTCAAGGCCTGCTGGACCTGCAGGCTTGAATCTCTTTGTTTGCACACCCGAGAAAGGCCCATGATCATTACTCCCACGAATGTGCCTCTGTAGGTGCAGGTGCTGGGCGCAGTTGTGTCTGGCTGCTCAGTTGGGTTGCACAGTGCCACAGACACATGTGGGCCTGTCCCATGCATCTGCAAGGGCTTGAGCAGCACCAGGGTTGCTCCTCACTGTGCCAGGTGTGCCTCAGGCACCTCCTTGTGCCCATAGTACCCTCACTTCTTGAAGAGAGAAGGCAACAAGCTTCAGATCATGCTGCAGCGCAGAAAGCGGTACAAAAACCGGACGATCCTGGGCTATAAGACGCTGGCCGTGGGCTCCATCAACATGGCCGAGGTGAGTGCTAGGTCTCGGCAATCCTGCTCATACAGATTTCCCTCACGTGTCAAGATGTGCATCCCAGTGCAGCAGGCACCTCTAGCAGGACTGCACAATGATGACCGTGCGCCGCCCCTCTGGGTTGCTTTCCATCCCTGCTGCAGACCCATAAGCACCCTCCTTCCAGGCTCCCCAACAGGGTCCTCCTGGGTGCCCCACTTAGCCCCCGCCAGGCAGCAGGGACATCACAGGAGGACCTCAGCCTAGCACACTGTCCTGGAGTAGGTCCTCCCAGAGGTTGCAGGAACTGTGGAGAGGAAGGAGGGCTTCTGGGCACTGAGGAGCCCAAACTTTCCTCCTACATCATGAGGCCACAGGAGCAGTTCTACGAATAGGGGTGACTAGGGCCTGGCCTTTTTGTCCCTTAGGCTTCAGACTTGTTGTGCTGTGGGGCTATGTTCAAGGTTGGTGAGCATCCACAGATAGGCTGTGCCACTGTCCCCATATCAGCTGCCCAGGGTCCTGTACTGTCTTCCCTTACCTCCCCTCTGCTGAGCACCTGGATCTGGCCTGTTCGGTCTGTTGGGTCTGGCCCTGGCCCCATGTCTTCCTCAGTCCCTGGGCCACACTGGATGGAGCCTCCCCAAGGCTGTGGCCCCTAGACATGTCCCTGGATCCCTGCCCCCCATGGCCATCTCCTCCAGGCTCCCTCACCCTGCACCTAGGGCCCCCCCCAGAGCTGGGTTCCCATGACTGATCCTTTGCTGTCTCCAACCACCTGCCTCCTGCCCCTCCAGGCATGGCCTTTGTTCTCCAGTGTGGCTCAGCCCTCCATGTTGCTGTGGGTCCAGCTCACTCACCATGTTCCTCAGACCCAGCTTGCTCCCCCATATTCCCCAGGCCCAGCCCTGTCCCCCATGTACCCCAGATCTAGCTGTGCCCCCTAAATCCCCCAAACCCAGCTTAGCCCCCCACATACCCCCAGGAACCATCCAGGTTGGGCTGGCTGTTCCCCCATGACCACTGTGGGCTTGCTGGGTGGTGGCCATGAGTGATGGTGAATTTGGGTGGGTGGGGGCTGGGCCCTGACCTTTCAGGCAGGGGGTAGGGGGCAGCAGGGGGCTGTGCCTGAGAGCCCCTGTGCTGGCCTAGGCACAGCAACAGGTCTGCCAGGTGGGTAGCGGGCCAGGTGTCAGTGGAGACCCAGTTGTTCTCCAGGGTGGTGCTTGGCTGAAGAGCAAGGTCCCTGAGGATAGGGTGAAGTCTGAGCCAGTCCATGGCCAGGAGGGGAAATAGTGGACAGGGCTAACCTCCCCATGAGTCCAGGGCTTGAGCAGTAGGAACCCTACTCTGTACTCCTCCAGCCCTGACCCACCGTGTGCTCTGACCAGGATACTGAGCTGGGGGTCTGTGGGGGGGCTACCTGCACCAGGTAGGCTGGTCCATAGCAGTCTGCACCTCTGCCCATGGGGCTTATACTCCACATTCAGGGATCTGGGGCAGCAGAATGAGGAATCCTTGGTCTGGAGTACCAGATGGTTCTGGTTTTTTGGGCTTTTTTCCGGTACTGGGGATCGAACTCAGGACCTTGCACTTGTGAGGCAGGCAGCAGCACCGCAGAGCTAAATCCCCAGCCCTACAAGATGGTTCTGAATTGTGAGTCGACTCAGAGATCCCTGGATGGGAGTACTCCTGGCTGAGAGTGCAGGAAGCCCAGGCCTCTGGCCAACAGATGTACTGTCTCAGACACCCCCCAGGTCCTCAGGCAGCAGGAGTACAGCAGGCTGACATGGAGGATCTGTCCTGGGGGGGCCCTAGGGGGCTCATCTGCACCTGCAGAAGGGAAGAGGTGGGCATGAGTGGCTGGTCTCGTGCTGTTCAAGGCGGGGGCTTGTGGGCTCTACACTTCACTTTGGAAAAGCCATAGGCACTTTGGCCCATCCTGGGTTGCTAGGGCCAGGGCTAGTTGCAGGGTTCACTCTCCTTCCTGAATGGGACTCGGGCTGTGCTGCCCACCCTGTCCATGGAGACCAGGAGCCAGGCACCTGGCAGAGTGGCTTGTGGAGGAAACCTCAGGAGATCCAGAGTGAGGCTGCTGGGCACCTTGCTGCCAGCAGGTTCCTGTGTCCCTGTGAGTGTATGTGTTGACTTCTGTCATTGTTTTTCCTATTTTTCATTGCTTGGTGCAGAACCTAGGGCCCCTGTTTCCCCAGAATTTGTATGTTATTTACGCACACAAGCCTGGTCCCCTAGCAGTTCTAAGAACTAAGGAACTATAAATTCTTTGAAAATAAGAGAGGGGCCTATGGGAGTAAAGAGAAGGAAGGGCACCTGTAGCTGAGTCAGCTCAGCCCTTTGCAGTGGTCACTCAGTGTCATCAGCGACTGGTGGGCTAGCCTGGGTGTGAGCCCAGGGTCCCTTGGTGCTGTGCCAGGTAGCTACTGCCAGGCTTGGAGTGGGAGTAGAGCCTGTCTACCAGCACTACTCCAGAAGGACTCCCAGCCTTGGGGCTTCAGGTCCTTATTTGGGAGGGCAGGCCAGCCCTGAGGAACCCAGGCCAGGAGCCTGGAATGAGTTGGTCAGCTGGGAAGTCAGGGCTGGGAGGTCAAAGGAAATGGGCAACAAAGGGCTGGAGCAGAGTGGTCAGGGGCTCTGGGACGCAGACGGGGGCTTGGCTCGCTGGCCAGCTGGAGGGGAACAGAGCCACACACATTTGGTAGAGGCCACGTTCTCTCCAACCTGCCACTTGGGAGTAGGTGTATGCCCACACCCTGCCACCTGCATTCCCTGACTGCCACCCGCCCATCTGTCTATCCCTGGGTGCAGCAGGGTGTCGGGCTCTAATGCTGGCAGTGATTTCTGAGCCAATCTGAGGTCACCCTAGGGAGGTGATGGCTGCTTGGAGCTCTACCACAGAGGTAGGCATGGGAGGTGGCATCCACAGTGCAGGGCTGGGTGCACACGGGCACATGGTCCCTGCACGAAGGCACCAGGAGTGGGAGGAGTGTTGGCATAGAGCTGCCCACAGACCTTCTGATTTGGTTTCTAAAATAATGATGAATCAAATTTGAACTTTCTTAAAATTTTATTTTCCTCGCTGATTAGAGTTAGCACTCCAAATTAAGCCCCCTCCCCCCAAAAAACTCTAGCCCATAAAATTCTAACATCTGGATCTGATCAGATGGCTCCAGAAATAATTTGAAAAGTACAGAGGCCAGTTGGGCCTGGTGGCACACTCCTGTAATCCCAGCACACTTGAGGGGTAGGGCTGAGGCAAGAGGATTGAAAGATCAAGCCCAGCCTGGGTAACTTAGCAAGACCCTATCTCAAAATAAAAACTGAAAAGGGCTGAGGATGTGGCTCAGTGCTCTCTGGACCCAGTTGTATGCACCCACACAGCTCAAAGGTCTATCTGAGAGGTCTGTAGGTACCTGTCTGTGTTTCTGAGGCTGGCATGGGCCAGAGTGGTGCCTGGGCACAGTAGCTGCTAGGTGTTGGCTGGGCTTGCTTTGCCCTCTGGTTTGTAGATACTTGAGACAGAGAGGACCCTGGGCTTGATGGTCCTGTGATCCAGGCCTGATGCATCTCTCAAACTGCAGTGGTGGCTGCTCTTCTTTGGTCCCCACTGACAAGGGTTGTTGGAAGTCAGGTCTCAAGAGTTGGTGGCCATGTTGTGGCACTGGCTGGCCCTCATCCCTGATGTCACTTCGATGTAGGGATAGCAGGTGTGGCCCACAACCACTGTCTGTCTACCTTTAGATCTTGCTCAGCTGGTGGCCTCTTCCTGGTTCCCCTTGGCCTCCTCTGCAGCCAGGCTCTTGCACACTGGGTGTCCCGCTCTTGGACCAGGCTCTGGGATGGGGTCCCTTCTTCCTGGGGTGCTTCTAGAGCTGTGTGCACCCACAGGTGATGCAGCACCCCTCAGAGGGTGGCCAGGTGCTGAGCCTCTGCAGCAGCATCAAGGAGGCCTCTGTCAAGGTGGCAGAGATCTGGATCATCTCCCTGTCCAGCCAGCCCATCGACCATGAGGACAGTGCCATGCAGGCCGGTCCCAAGGCCAAGTCCACAGGTGCGTAAGGCCTTTCCTGCCTCTACCTAAGGGTGCTGCCTCCTGCCCTGGCATGTCAGGTGGCACAGCCACCCAAGTGCTTGGAGAAGTAGGGTGAGTGTGAAGCATTGGCAGTTGTTCCCTCATCTGGAAACCCTGGAGCAAGGTCATGAGGTCGTGTGTGTGGTCGTGGGGCTGGTCCCTGACTCCTTGGTCCAAGCCTAATGCCTGCACACCCTCTATGGAGAAGGGTCATGAGGCCAATCCTTCACTGCCTCTGAGGCCATGGGCACTGGACCTGGCACAGGGTACTACTTTGTGGCCATCAGCTGCTGCTACCATCTCTGTTGGTGTGGGTGTCCCTCCCCCACCTGCCAAAGTGAGGGAGGCTGTGTCCAGGCCAATCCCCATGGCCTCCGCCTTCAACCCCTCTGGACATGGGGCTGGGTCCGCACAGCCCCCTCTGTGTTTGGTGGCCATGTAGCTGCAGCAGAAGTGATACATCCGGGCACCTGCTGTCCTCTATCCACAGATAACTACTCTGAGGAGGAGTATGAGAGCTTCTCCTCTGAGCAGGAGGCCAGCGATGATGCTGTGCAAGGGCAGGTAATAGGAGTGGGGTATGTGCGGCCAAGTGCTGTGGGGCTGGGGGCCCCCAGGGGGTGGGAGGTAGGGGAGCCTGGATGTCCTTGGCCCCAGCACTGGGCAGGCCACCAGGGCAGGTAGGACCACAGACTCAGGGGCCATTGTGTCTCCACAGGATCTAGACGAGGACGACTTTGATGTGGGGAAACCTGAGAAGCAGCGGAGATCGATAGTAAGAACGACGTCCATGACCAGGGTCGGTGGAAGCTAGTTTTACTAGCACTGGGGACGGGTGCGGGTGTTCGGCTGGGATGGGTGCCATGGGCACATGGCCTGCAAGCCCTTGGGGGAGGCTGTGGGCGAGAAGCCTCCTGGGGGTGCAGACCCCATGGGGCTGCCAGAGTTAGCCCCTGGCCACTGTTAGAATGTGGACATGAGTTAGGCAGGGGGTGTCCTTGTGGCAGCTCCTGGCCTCTAGCCCCCTGGCTGCTATTCTCTCCTGACACTACCTGTCCTGGCTCCATGCCATGTGGTCACGAGGGGCTGAGGAGCTGGTATAAGGCTGGGTTGGCCACCTTGCATCCCATGGTCCTCCTGGTGAGGTCCTGGGGATATAGTTCTCTCCTTGGTCAACACCCAGACAACCTGTGGATGGCAGTTCCACTCTTAGGGCCTGCTGACCACCTGCAGGCACAAGAGTGAGGCTCTGAAAGAGAGCCAGGGCAGCCCCATCCCCCTGGGCCCCCAGAGAGTCACACTGGGCTGTGCCCAAAAGATGGCTGCATGAGTGGCCAGGGAAGCCCTGGCCCGATGCTGACCAAGGTTATGGTGCTGCTCCCCTTTGGCAGTGAGTGAGCAGGAGGTCATGGGCAAGTAAGCCACCCCTGTCTCTGGAAGCTAGGTTCCAGCCCTGCAGGGCATGGAAGGTCCCCGTAGGTTGGCACTGTGTATATGGCTCTGGGCTGCCACCCCACTTGGTGGCCAGTGGCAGGATCAGAAGCCACAGCCAGGGAACAGCAGGGCCACCCAGGTGCCACACAGGCACATGGCAGCTTTTCTGCTGGTGGGACTGAGGAGCCAGTGCAGCCGTGCTCTGTTCCTCTCCGCTGGGCCTGAGCTGCCAGCCCCTCCCAGGCATCCCCAAGCTGGCCCCAGCTCAGATGCCGTGAACATGTGTGTTGTTAAGCCCGTGAGAACCACGTCTCACTAGCTATCTCACAGCATGTTTGAGCCACACTCACCTTGTGGCTCCCATGTCACTTCTGACGCTGACCCCTTGTCGTGCAGCAACAGAACTTCAAGCAGAAGGTGGTGGCCCTGCTGCGGAGGTTCAAAGTGTCAGACGAGGTGAGTGGAGTGTGTTGAGTTCGAGCGCTGGCCACCTCTTGCTCTGTCCTTGCTCTCTGGGCGTTGCCCGTCAAACCCACCAGTCTGGCAGTGGAGCCACCTCCCAGGGGACCTCGCGGGGCTCAGCTAAATTTCAAATTGCCCTGCACCTAGAGGAAGATGGGCACAGGGTTTGTGTGTCAGCTTTATAGCTAGAGTTTACTTTGGGGAGAGTTTTAGGTCTACAGAAGAATCATACAGGAAAAACAGAGCCCCCATGTGCCCCTCCTAAGTTAGATCCCGGTATCAAAAAAAAGAAACTGGAAGACATTGTGGAGAGAAATTAAAGAAGATACGAACAGGCCTTGGATGTAACTCAGTGGTGGAACACTCGCCTGGAAATGTGTTTGTACATAAATACATGCATGTGTGTACATGTACACCTCCAAGTTGATCTACAGATCCACACAGTCCCTATCCAATCTCCAGCTGCCTTTTTACAAAAACCCACTACGTGGTCCTAAAATTAATATTATGTTTACCCCAAAGTAGGACCTAACTGGAGCGACCTAACTGGAACCAGCTCTAGCTGGCCATTACCATGGTGATGAACAGTGTCATGCAGAAGATTGTACCTCACTATTCTCTTGCTTGGTGGCTACACCATAATGGTAGGGAAGAGAAGAATGGGCTGATTGGGGCTGGCATGTTTTTGGTTTTGTTTTGTTTTTTTTTGTACTGGGGATTGAACTCTGGAGCTTGCGCTTGCAAAGCAGGCGGCAGAACCACTGAGCTAAATCCCCGGCCCTGGCATTTTTTTTATTAGTTTTTATATTTTGGGAAACACGTATGTGAATGCAAGGGACTCATAGACAAAGTAGTCTTGAAAAAGAAAAAATTGGAAGATTCACACTTTCCAGTTGCAAAACTTAGTAGAAAGCCACAGTGATCAAAACTGCGGTGCTGGAACAAGGATAGATGTGGAGATAATGGAATGACACTCACCACCTAGAAGTGAATCTCTGTTCACATCAACTGACTTTTAGCAAGGATGTCAAGACCATTCCATGAGGAAAGAGCAGTTTTTTCAACAAATGCTGCTGGGAGAACTGGACTTCCATAGGCACAAGAATGAAGTTGACTCCTTTTTCACACCATATTCAAAAATTGCTGCCATGGGTCAAAGTCCCACATGGCTGAGCTACAACTATAGAATGCCTAGAAAACAGCAGGTAAACTTTAATGAGCCTGGACTAGGCAGCAGTTTCTTACATTCGACACCAAAAGCACAGGTGACAAGATAAAAATGCATAAATTGCAATTGGCAACATTTAAAACTTTTGTGCTTCAAACAGTATATCAAGAAAATGAAACGACAGCCCATAAGATATTTTTTACCAGTTATATACTCATAAAAGGGGGTGTCCGGAATATATAAGGAATGATGTAACTCAAAGAGACAACTCAGTTAAAAATGGATTGCCCATCTCTGAAGACCACATGGTCATGAGTTCTATAGAACTTGGGTCTACTGCTCCTGGCTCACCACAACACATGCTTACTGAGGAGCAAGTCAGGAAGCTGTGCCACAGCCATGGCTTTTAGGATCGTAGAGAAACATCCTTGGAACCAGTGGTGGATGTTGACCACATTAGAGTTTCCCTCAGTAGCCACAAGGCAAACCCCAGAAGAGGTGCATGCAGACGTGACCACAGGCACAGAGCATCCCCAAGGAAGCCTAGGTTAGGTGTCGGTGAACCTCTCAGAATCATGGCATCCCACAGCTTCCCAGCATATTCCTTTCTCAACACTGAGCTGGGAGGGGAGGTCAAAGACACTACTGCAGATACCTAAATCAACTGTTTTAATATGTTATCATTTGTTTAAAACAATGAACTAGCCAGGTGTGGTGGTAGCACATGCCTGTAATCTCAGCACTCAGGAGGCTGAGGTAGGAGGATTGTGAATTTGAGGCCAGCCTGGGTTACATAGCAAGACCCTTTCTCAAAAAACAAAAGGTGCTGGGGATGCAGTTCAGTGGCAGAGTGCCCTGAGTTCAGTCTCCAGTAATGAAAAAAAAAATAGTCCACTTAAAGAATGGGCCAAGACTAGAGAAAGCCAATGCAGCATGATCTTCAGTGGGATGGCTGTGATCCAAAGGAAACCTGTGTGTAGATGTGTGGCAGGCAGAGTTCACAGTGCGTATAGGGTGGGAGCGTGCCTCAGAGGGACACCAGTAGCTCCATGCCCACTGTCTCCTGATGGTACAAGGCTGGATCCCCCCAGCAGCTCACATACTGGTGCTGGTACCACCTTCTCTCACCCAGGGAGGAGCCATCAGCTGGTGGCTTCCAAACCAGAGTGGGGTCTTGTTCAGAAAGGAACTGGCTGAGCTAGAGAAATTAGACCCAGGAGGCTGCAGCTTGCATCCCTCCATTCTTTTACGACTAGGGAAGATCCAGATCAGTGCCCACCTGGGGAGGGGGAGGCAGGGACTACAGGGCAAGGGATCTCTGGGGAGAGCAGCATTTTGCATCCTGGTGCTGGAAGGGTACAGCTGCCAGGCACTTTCAAGTCTATTCAGAGTCAGCACAGCCCACAGCAGGGGTTACGGGGAGGAGCTCACCACGTGAAGAGCCCACACACTGTGCCCAGTGCCCAGTTCCTAAATTAGGATAGGAAGTAAATAAAGCAAAATGTGCTGGCAGCTCAGGGTGCTTAGTGGTGCTGGGTAGCCCTGTCTTCTTCTTGTGCACCCTTCTTTGTGATCCTTGAGCAGCCTCCTGTGCAGGTACCATGAGCCTCCAGAGGGCCCCCTTGCACGTCTGGCATTGCTACAGGTCCTGGACTCGGAACAGGACCCTGCAGAGCACGTCCCTGAGGCAGAGGAGGACCTGGACCTTCTGTATGACACACTGGACATGGAGAACCCCAGTGACAGCGGTCCTGACATGGAGGATGATGACAGCGTCCTTAGCACCCCCAAGCCCAAGCTCAGGTGAGCACATCAGGCCCAGACGAGGCACCACTGCTGTATCTTAGCAGAGGGCCCTCTGTGCTGCCCAGGAATGCCCATGCTGTCCTCACCGCAGCAGACCCTGCCTGACCTAGGGCTCCGAGGTTTGCTGACTGCAGCTTGGGAGAAGGGGATCTGTTGGTCAGTCCCAGGCTGCTGTGGTAGACTGAGGCAAGCAGCTTTCCCTTCATGGGAGAACAGGTGGGAGGTAGCCAGTCGAGGGAGGGGGATTTCCAGAAGGCAGTGTGGTTCTCAGGACAGAAGTAGCCACGTGACAAGACCACGTGGGCCTGACCTTGAGTCTGTTAGGCAAGACACAGGTGGAGCGTTGGGAGGCAGGTGTGGATGGGGTGGACTGGAACATTGTCTAGGAGGCAAGAGCTTGGGCATGGGAGCAGGTGGCGTATGGGCAAGCATGGAGCACTGTGGGGTTCCCCAGCATGGCACGCCATTACAGGAGGGTATCAGGGAGCCTTGGAGCTACAAAGGGACTTCTGCTGTGTCTGGCTGGGTGCCTTCCTCTGGCTAGGAATGCAGCTGGCTGAGCCTACCCTGGGCTGGAGGAGTGGATGTGGAAGGTCCACGGGTTTACTATGGACCTTTGGAAGCCCTGGTCTATGTGGTGGGGGAGGCACAAGCCCCGGGACAGAGCATAGGGCCTCTGTGTGAGGATGCTCTGCTGAGGATGGAGAGACCTCAGTAGGAGTCAGGAAGGGTTATGGACTTTTTGTTTTTAAACTTTTTAACTTGAACAATACCTAGTAGCACACACAAAAATGGTGGGCTTCAGGCTGGAGCTGCAGCTCAGTGATAGAGCACTTGCCTTGCATGTGTGAGGTCCCAGGTTTCATCCCCAGCACAGCAAAACTAAAAAAAGAACAAAAAAGAAAAGTAGGCTTCCTGCATCACCAGAGGCAAGGCCACAGTTGGTTCTGGCACCATTGCAGCTCCCTCTCACTCTGTGATCCCACTCCACATGATGGCCTGTTAGTTCCCCTGGCTGCCACCGTAATAACTGTGGCAACTTGAAATGGCCATTGCTGCCTGTCCTGGGGAATGGCATCCTGCTCTGAGCCTTCTCTGCCTGGTATCTCACTGGTCTTGGTTGAACTGCTGGCCACTATCCCTCACAGGTCTCAGGGGTACCCTCTAGGTCCAGTGAGGTCATGGTAGAATTCATTTCCAGGACGCTTCAGGATAAAAGCCCAGTTTCCCCGCTACTTGGCAGTTACCTGTCATCTTTGCCAGCTGGAAGCCACTCCTACATCTTGGCTTCTGCCCCTTCTCTGGTCAGTCCTCACATGTAGGGTCTGGCTCCTCCCACTTCAACTCCCTGCCCTCATCCTGAGTGAGTTCTGTGCTTGCAGTGGTTGTGGGATCACATTAGCAGGTCCTCCCCGGTTGCAATCTCTGTGATGCTGACTACATCAGCAGTCCCTGCCTGTGATTCTGGGATAAAATGTGGGCAACTCAGCATGGTGATCCTGGGTGGTCACACACACAGGAACACCCCACACCCCCAGGATTCTTAATAGCCTCATGATCCACGGGGCATACCAGCTGCTTGAAGTATTAGCTTAAAGTGTATTTTACATCTCTTGGGTCTGTCTTTTCCTTCCTCTTTTTTCATTTGCAGCATACTTTTATCTGCTGAGGATAAACATGTTTGGCCTTTTTGGTCTGGATTGGCATGGTCAGTCTGGACTGGTCTAGAATGATCTGGATTGGTCTAGGGGGTTCTGGTGGGTGTGGATTAGTCTAGAAAGGTCTGGTAGGTCTGGATTGATCCAGAAGGGTCTATTTGAATCTAGGTTGGTCTAGGTCAGCTTGGTCTGCCTGGTTGGCCTGAATTCTCCTGGATCTGCTGGTGGTGCCTTCCTTGTGCTATTGAGAATGTTCTGTTTCCTACTAGTTGGTTCCAATCCCGAGGTCTTGGGTGGGCGTCCTCCTGCAGGACTGTTGGGATGGAGCTGTCACTCGAGCTCCCTGTGTTGCTGACAGCCCTGCCCTGGGTCAAGGCTGCAAGCGACAGCGTTTTAGGACACATTTTCTGTGACTGATCTCATGGCAAACTGATGAGCCGAGCTGATATGGTGCCCAGTTGCATCTGAATTCCGTGCTCTCATGCCCAGCTCCTCCAGGGTACACTTGCACCCACACAGTTCTTCAAGACTCCAGTTCCTCTGGACACAGCTCTGCTCTGCCACTGGGCTCCCTGCCACTTCCCCCACCATATGTGTGGTGGGGGCTCACTTCCGTTGTGTGGTGTCATAGAGAGTAATGCCCACCCTTTCCCCCAAGCCAGGCCGTACTTTGAGGGCCTGTCACACTCCAGCTCACAGACAGAGATCGGGAGCATCCATAGTGCCCGAAGCCACAAGGAGCCTCCAAGCCCGGTGAGTGCAGTGACAAGTGTCCTCGGGTAGTGATGGAGAACCTTTCAGAGGTTTCAGTAATAACAGCCAGCTTCAGCACGTGTGCCTTGGGTTCACCACCCTTGTCCCAGGAGAATGGTGGAGGGGACTCTCCTGTCTGTGACTCTCAGGGATGTGGTGGACAAACATCAGTGGGTGTGCCCCTGGCTGGGTTCTGGTGTGTCCTGGGCTCAGGCTGGAGGGTAGGGGACCATCCTGGGGCAACCCTGATCCCATAGTTCAGGAGTTTCTCAGTCTTCTCAGTCTCCCCTGGGCTCCTCCTGCCTAAAGTGAAACAGCCTCAGAGCTTGCTCCAGCACAGCCTGACTCCCATCTCCACCCCAGGCAGACATGCCTGAGAAGACGCGGTGCCTGGGAGCCAAGCAGCCAAGTGACAGCATCTCGGACACGGTAGCCCTGGTAAGCAGCTGCTGGTGGCAACTGCCCTGTCACACATGCCAGGCGACTGATGTGCAGTGGGTACCACAAAGAGGTCTTGGTAATGACACCACCTAGAGCACATGTTATGCCAAGGCAGGTCACCCTTCACATGGCCAGGCAGTCAGGCACCCCTGGACTCATCCACAGGGTTGATCAGGGCTCTGGGGGATGATGATGACCCAGTGTTGCTGTCACGCATGGCTTGGGAGCAGTGGGTTTGCTCCTGTTGCCCTTGGGAGGGGTCTTCCTAGGGATAGTGCCCAGGCACAGGACAAACAAGTCTCCCTGCAGTGCTGGACCACTGTAACTGGAGGATGAGGCACCTGGGGCAGTGCATGGCCACATGTAGGGACGCAAGAGGGCTCAGTGAGTGAGCATTTCCTGGCCAGGCATGTGCACACAGCTCCCTTCTCTGCCCATCAGAGCATACCGGTCCCTCAGGAGCTGGCAGAGCCCCCCGAGAACAGTCCGGAGGCTGAGACCTCCGCTCTGGATGTGTTTACCGAGAAGCTGCCACCCAGTGGGAGGATCACCAAGACGGAGTCGCTCGTCATCTCATCCACAAGGTGCGTCCGCTGGGGCAGGGGCCATGTTAGGATGCCCACGCTGGACGCCCAGCTGGTCTGGCCAGCTACCTCCATCTGGTTTCTCTGTCAGCCTGCTCCCCTGCAGTCCAGTATGCCCAAGGGGAGCCACCTAGTCCCATGCTGCTGTCCCCAGGGTGCTGGAGTGGACAGGCAAGGGTGTAGGCCTCACAAGGAGGCTGACTGCAGTGACAGTTCCTCGCAAGGATCTGCTGGGTGGGGCTAGAGGCAGCAGCAGGCAGGAGGAGAGGGGCTGAGCCCTGATCAGCCTGTGGGCAGGATAGTCCCAAGGCCACATCTGTGTCTGCTGTGGGCCTGGAGGTCCAGGAGGTTGGGAGTGAGTCTGGGTCCCATGGGTGGAGTGTCCTGTGCTGACAGGGCCCTGTCTGTACCCCTTGGTCAGACCAAGGTCACAATCTCCAAGTGCCCAGACTAGGACATGCCAGGAGCCTGAGACCCTCTCCCTGGTCTTGTTCTCTGGAGGGGTGGCATCCCCTGCCTCTGCTGACCCTCCTTGGCATGGGTCCCCCCAGTCCAGCTCTCCACCTCAGCTCCTGGCCTCCCTCGGCGGCACCACTGTCTGGGATGTGCCCCACCCCGGAGGGTCATCAGAGCTACCATGGGTACCCCACCGCTCTCCCAGGTTCCAGCTTTTTTTTTTTTTTTTAGACAGTGTCTTCCTATGTAGCCCAGGCTGGCCTCAAACTTGTGGCAATCCTCCTGCCTCAGCTTCCTTAGTGCTAGGATTACAGGAGTGCACCACCATGTCTGGCTTCAGGCTCCGGCTTCTCTAGACGTATCCTCAGTGCCCCTGCCCTTGTCCTGCATAGGGATGCCCACCTGATCTTACAGCACATGCGTGAGGGGTCTTGGGGCAGCCATTTACCCTGACCAAGGTCCAGGCTACCTCTTTTACCATGGTCCCCACATCAGCCTTCTTGCTGCTCACCAGCCTCCTCCTCACCCTGTGCAGATCCATTCACAGAAGCCCATCTCCTGGCATCAGACCCAGGGCCCTAGACCTCCCTATAGGAGCTGTTCCCACTGACATTGTAAAAGGCCCTGGGTCAGAGGTACTACCCCCACCACTCAAGCTCATGTATATGGTCCAGTGATGTCTGGGCTTTCGAAGAGTAGAGTCTGAGCACTGGCATTTACCCATCAGGGGGGCACATGAGTCTGGGTGGCACCCAGCTGCATTCTTACTTCAAGGTCCCCTGTCAGGTCACAGATGAGGAAATGGAGCTGAGTACCCGGTCCCACTCAGATGCCCAGTCTTGGTCCTATGCCACTGCCCATGACCTTCACAGGGTTGGGGCTCTGTGTGGCTCAAGGCCTTCAACCTCTTTTATGGTGCAGCACAATATGAAGTTCACAAGAGCTTATGGTCTGCCCTGACCTGCATCGCCCCGCCAGGCTCCGCTGCCCCAGCTGCCCCACCACTCCCCAGCCTGCCCTGGTTCCCACAGGTCTGAGGCAAAGCCAGCTGGCCGCCGGGGCCGGAGCACATCCCTGAAGGAGCGGCAGCCAGCACGGCCACAGAATGAGCGGGCCAACAGCCTGGACAATGAGCGGTGCCCAGACACAAGGAGCCAGCTGCAGGTGCAGTAGTGCAAGGGCCCTAGAGCACATCTGTGGAAAGTGCCCACTGTAGGTGGGATGGGGTCATCATGCAGGGCAGTCTGAGTGCATGGTGGGCAGCTGTCTGCCTGCTCCCTGGCCTCCATGGCTGGCGGCTGCAGCAGGCACAGAGGTACCAGGCTAGGGGAAAAGGATCAGGCATTTGCAGTCTCCTGGTGTGGATGGCCTTGGTGTTTACAGATCCCCAGGAAGACCGTGTATGACCAGCTGAACCATATCCTCATCTCCGATGACCAGCTCCCTGAGAATATCATTCTTGTCAATACCTCTGACTGGCAGGGGCAGGTAGGAGCATCCTCTGGAGTTGGGGTCACGTGGCACAGCCGAGCAAGGGCCCTGCCAAGCACCACCACCATCCCTGCCTGGCTGCAGTGCTGGAGCAGGGATGGTGGCAGCCAGGTTTCCCTGGACCCTGTGGGGCCCAAGGTGGAGTGGACAGGGCCGCCAGGCGCTGTGCTGAAGCTATGTCTCCCCATCCCGCCTAGTTCCTTTCTGATGTCCTACAAAGGCACACACTCCCTGTGGTGTGCACATGCTCTGCTGCTGATGTCCAGGCAGCCTTCAGCACCATCGTCTCACGGATACAGAGATAGTGAGTCTGTGGCTACTTCCCTGGGGTCCCCCTGGGGCTAGCGTGCCCAGCACTTGGGTACCGAAGTGCTGGGCACCCCAGGCCTACCTACTTCCTAGACAGGGAATGTTCCCTCCTGGGGGCTGCAATGGCTCCCCACACCCTGCCCTTGCTTCAGTTCCAGATGGGTGTCCTGGAGAGGCAGCTTCTAGTGTTCACTGTCCCCTGGCCTCGGGCACATTCAGGCAGACGCCATCTCAGCTTAGGGGTCCAGGGGTAGAGGGTCCAGGGTTTGGTGGCTTCCAGGGGTTGTCACTGCAAGAGCAGCTGTGGCTGGGGATCCAGGCTTCCCTGGGGCTTAGCAGGGTGGTCCTTGGGCAGGAGACAGCTTCCCTGAGGCATCTGTCCCCTCTCTGCCCCACCCGCCCCCCGGGGTTGCAGCTGCAACTGCAATTCCCAGCCCCCGACCCCAGTGAAGATTGCAGTGGCCGGAGCACAGCATTACCTCAGCGCCATCCTGAGGCTCTTCGTGGAGCAGCTGTCCCACAAGACGCCTGACTGGCTCGGCTATATGCGCTTTCTCATCATCCCGCTGGGTGAGGGCCATCACCTGACCACTGAGCACATGGCTCAAATGGCTCAGCTGCTGTGGTTGGGGTCGAGGCACCAATGTGATGTGTCTCTGTTATTTTTTTTTTTTCCTGGTACCGGGGATTTAACTCAGGACCTTACGTTTTCCAGGCAGATGTGGTGCCAGAGCTACATTCCTGCCCCTGTTTTAAATACTTTTGTGTGATACAGTATATTCTTTATGCATTTTATTTAAATGAAAAGTGACATGATTGTCCTAAAAGTTGTTTGGGTAAGAGGACAAAGCCATTGCCCCTGCAGTACCTGTGCTGAGCTTCTGACCCCTTGATCAGTCTCTGAGATTTGGGATGCCAGATTTGGTCTCCATCATCAGAAATGCAAAGGACAGTTCAGCAGTTAACCCTTTGAGTTACTGGGCCTGTGGTAGTTGAGGTTCCTCTGGTCTGTGCAGTGCCCCTTGCTGCAAAGCAGACATGGCCAGTCTGTCGACAAGTGTGAGATACCAGCATCCTGGGGCCTCTTGGTGGAGCTGCAGGAGGTGGGATTCATCACAGCTCCTCCAACAGACATGACAATGCAGCACAGAGGGTCCAGGAACATGCGGTTACGGGGTGGCAGCCCAGCTGTGCAGTGATGGCTCCCCTGGCATGCAGGTTCCCACCCCGTGGCCAGGTACCTGGGCTCCGTGGACTACCGCTACCACAACTTCTTCCAGGACCTGGCCTGGAGAGACCTGTTCAACAAGCTGGAGGCCCAGAGTATAGGTGAGGCCAGGTGCCATGCCAGGTTGGAGAGGGAATACCCCTGGTATCTACAGCCCCCTGCACTGCAAAAAAGGCCCCTTGTTGCTGAGACCCTTCCCAAGAGAGCTCCCCAAGTGCCTGGCCCTTCTCAGGCTTAGACAGCAGGCATGGCTGAGCCCCAGGCTTGCTGGGAAGGCCCCAGGCCCCAGGGAAAAGGTCTGCTGCTTTGGGGAGGAGGCTTTGCAACCCTCATCTTGGGACCATGGGTGACACTCTGCCCTCCCTGCATCTGAATTCCACCTGGCCGCCCCATGCCAACTCAGCATCACCTCCTCTTGCAGTGCAGGACACACCGGACATCGTTTCACGCATCACCCAGTACATCGCAGGGGCCAACTGTGCCCACCAGCTTCCCATTGCTGAGGCCATGCTGACCTACAAGCAGAAGAGGTAATGTGGTGGGCCCAGGCCTGGGGGGAGCCTGACGGAGGAGATGCCCCACCCCACATCACAGGCTGCCGCCAGCCACTGTCTCTCCTTGTGGTCTCCTGCCCACACTGGCCCAGTGGGCCAGGCTGGACAGCCGGAGCCTCTGCTAACCCCAAATCAGACCGGGATTGTGGGCTGGTTTTTAAGCACCTCTGTCTTTGTGTATGCTGGAGTTTCTCCAATACAGTGCTCCAAGCCTGGGCTTCATGGATCCTGGCCTTACTGCTTGGTGTACTCTTGCCCAGAGCAGAAGCCTGGGGTGGGTAGAGGTCCTGCTGGGCTTCCCCCCACCCCACCTGAGGTGCTGGGCATTTTATAGTTTTAGGCCCCTTGTTGGCCAGGCCTCTGGACAAGCTGCCCCTCTTGCAGACAAGGAAAGCAGAGGACTAGTCTTTGGTGGGTCTCATCCAGGGAGGTGCAGACCCTACAGTCCATAAGGTCAGACAGCAGAATGCTGCTGATTTCTAAGCAACATTCAATGCTTGCCCTAGACTAAAAGAGTTAATGGTCTTATGAGGCACAGTGTGGTCCATGGGGATGGCCAATCCTGTCCTGGCCAGAGCCTGTGCTCCCCAACTGCTGGTGGAGGGGACAGTGATGTCCTTGCATGGGACTGCCTTTGAGGCTGGCCTTTGGCTCACTCAGCTGTGAGGCAGGTGGAGAGTTGCCCAGAGAATTGCCTGGGCTGCGGAGCTCCCACCACTGTGAGGTCCCTTAACATATCTGTTTTCTCTTTGGTGGCTTTCTGCAAAGGAAAAGGCACTTTCACTTTGACTTTACCCTAAGGTACAGCTATCTGGCCTGTACCCCTCTGTCTGCCCCAGGCTGGTCTTTAAGGCTTGTTTAGCAGTCACTGCCCAGATCCCTCTCCTCTGATACCCAGGGTGGTGGGAAGAACCCTCAGGCAGGGTCCCTGTGAACTGAGAAGTGGGTGAGATGCTCTCCTCTGCCAGCCTTGTGTGAGACAAGAGGTACAAGTGGCCCTGCTGTCCCTGGGGCCTGTGTGGCCTGGGCAAGGCCTGCTGGGGGAGGTCCAGACCTTTGTGATTCTGAGGCCAGGATAGCATTGCTCCAGCTAAACCAGAGGCAGGCACCAGGACCATGCTAACCTCTGGCCATTGCTGCTGAGATCAGAGCCACTTCATGTTAGGCTTGTCCCAAGCACTTCACATTGGTGGATTTGGCCACCTGCACACAGCTCCAAGAGGGAGGCATCAGTGCTGGTCTCCACTGTTCAGGGACATCATTGGGGGAGGTCACAGAGCTGGTACAAGGCGGCCCGCCTCAAGCCACTGTCTTCTCAGCTGAGTCTGGCTCCAGAGTCGGCAGAAGTCAGAGGGAAGTTTTGGTATCTTCTGTAGTTTGCCTGGGGAGGCAGCCACATCCCAGAAATCCCCACATGAGGTAAAGCACTTTTACCCCCAAGGTTGGCTGCACCCTCTGGAAACTTGGATGTTTCAGGCTGCATAATCCCAGGCACCCCTAGTGCTTTCCTGGGCCAGGTGGGTCCCACACTGTGTCTTCTGCCCCTGCTTCAGGTCATCTGTTCTCCTGGGGAAGCTGCCCTCACCCTGGCACAGGGAGTGTGAGGGTCCAAACATGCCATCTTCCAGCCATGGGCGGACTCTGAGCACCCAAACTGTCCTGCTAAACAAGCCTCACAAGTCAGAAAAAGACCAGCCATCACATGCCCCCACCCCATGTCCTGGCCCCCTGGCTGTGCAGCCAGTGGTCCCTGGAATCTGCAGCATGTCCTGCCTCCCAGTGGCTGCAGCTTCTGTCAGGGTTGGCTTGCAGACAGCAGAATGAGGCTTGAGGAGACCTTGCATTCCCACCCTACCCTTCCCACCCCACTGCCTCACAGAGGTGACACCGGCACGCGGTGGGGATGGGTGCCCGAGAGGCCCAGCATTCTGGGGAGGGAGCAGAACCCTGCCTGATGTTGCCCAGCCCTGTTGAGGTCCTCTTGCCTGTGCTATCCCTGCACACACCGTGCCCGCTGGGCAAGAGCAGGGCTCATCCTGTGAGGGTGGCTGGGTTGAGGTCAGACTAGGTAGCCAAGGGCCACCTGCCTTTGGTGTGGGGTGAGAGGGCCTCTTGGGTCCTCGGCCATCACCCTCTGTACTGTAGCCAGTCTTAGGAGCCCAACCAGAAGCCCATGTGCTACAGTTTGGGAGCCCCTCCACATCTGGGGTTGGGTCCTTGTGGCGATCCGGTGTCACCCCTGTCATGCCTATGCTGGTGTCTGCATGCTCCAGGACGCAGCTTGGCTTTGAGTTCCAGCCGCTTCCTCATGTCGTGCCGTCTCCCGTGTCTCGGCCACATGTGGCCCTGGTCAGCCATGCTGTGCCCCTCGTAACTCAGAGCAGAGCATGGACAAGAGGCTGTCCTGCCACCATTGTGGGGTCCCTGCAGAGGGCAGATGGCTCTGGGAGTTGGAGTTCCCCACATGCTGGGGACCAGTACCACCTGCCTGCCACTTTGATCTTGTGGACCCAAAATGACTCAAGTGTCACTGAGATTTCCAATCTCCTACCCAAGGGGACAGGAGATAACCCATGTGGATGGCCACCCCATGAGACACCCTTTGTGCCTAGGGCCATGGTTGTAGCAGGCTGGGCCCAGCTTTCAGATCATTTGTTGTTTGAGATGTACAGACCAGGTGGTTCTCTTGATTTTGCTTTCCCTAGAGAGGGCATGAACACTGAGAATTTGGTTGTCACCTTCAGTGGTACGGACAGAATCTGTAGATGTAGAGTCTCAGGATTCTGCCAGGTCTTGGGAGCAGAGATGGAAGACAGACAGAGCCCCCCCTGCAAAGACCTGCCACAGCTGGTAGCAGCTGGGCCTGCATTCTGGCCAGGCCCACACCAGTGCTGCTGGCCCAACTTGTGGGCACCCCATGCGTCTGAATCCTCTGCCCGCAGCAGCCTCTGAGGAGATGGAGATGGAGTTGGTGCTTGGGGCAGGTGGCTAGCTGTCCATGGGCCTTGCCAGGCCTGCTCCCTGCAGAGGCTGCTCTCTTAGAAGGCCATATGCTGCATGGTACCCACCACAGGTACCCCTGGCCTGAGCAGTTGGAAATTCCCAGACCATCAAGAGGAAACTTCCAGGGCTGGGGATTTAGCTCAGTGGTTCCGCCGCCTGCCTCGCAAGCACAAGGACCTGAGTTCGATCCCCGGTGCCAAAAAAAAAAAAAAACAAAGAGGAAACTTCCACACCCTGACTTTGGGGCAGCGCCCCCGCCCCCCCCACCGTTGATGGAGAAGGCTCAGACTACTCTCCAGAAGGTCTGAGGTCTGTGGGGCATGTGTGGCTCCAGGTCCAGCAGGGAACCAGCTTGGTGGGTGGCATGAGCAGACAGGCCTGGGCTGAGCTGGCTGGTACCTGTGTGGTAGGTGCCTGGATGGAAGAGTGGAGCTCTGTCAGCCCTGTGCTGTGTCCCTTGCTCCCCAACTGTGGGCTCACCCTGGTTGCCCAGCTGTAGAGACCCCTCTCCCTTTCTGCATGTGGCTTGTCAGGGTATCCAGGTGTCAAGCTGGGATGAGGCCAGGGTGAGCCAGGGCTGGGGCTAAGGGATGGGTCCCTGTCCTGGGGCTGCTGCCAAAGTACAGGGCCAGGAGAAAGATGGCATCAGTGCCAGGGGAGCATGACTGGGTTTTCCTTACTCTTAGCCCTGATGAAGAGTCCTCCCAGAGGTTCATTCCTTTTGTTGGGGTAAGTACCACTACTGTCCCTGCCAGATGCTGGGGCCAGGATCCCTTTCCTAAGAGCGCTTTTGCATTGGCCCACATATTCCACAGCCCCTTCTCCATGTGAGCCCAGGACTGCCTCAGATTCTCCCTGCTAGGCCCACTGCTTTCTTCCCATATTTGAGGGGGTGAGACCCATCTAGGAAGGGCCTACGTCCATTTTTCCACGCTGTCGTGAGCACTGGCATAGGGCCAGATGGTGCTGGTGCAGCATTGCAGCTCAGGAGAAGAACTAGAGAGATGGAGGGCACAGCCAGTTTTCTCTAACTGGGCTGAGGCTATGGATCCTCCCTCTGCAGGTGACTAAGGGCACCCTGTTTCCTCCTGCCCCATCTGCATAGCCTGCGCCCTACCATCATACATCCTACAGCTGCAGGTCCACTGGGAGACCTTACAGTAGTGAGGCCAATGGCCTCTAGGCAGGTGAGGGATATGAGTGGCAGGTGACCCATGGGAATGACAAAATTCACATAGAGCAGCCTTTCCCTGAGGCCTTTGTGTGGTGACAGGTGTGCCCTGTGCTCTTGGGCACTTGACCCATCACCATGTGGCTAAGATCCTGAATTGTCACATTTCACTCAGAAGTGACACAGCCTCAAAGTGGGTGGCCACCACTCTGGATAGTACAGATTTAGCGCAATTTCACTCAGCCCTGTCACACAGGCTTCTGGGGCAACTTCTGTAGCTGGGCGGTAGGGATCCTCACACCAGCCTCCTGGTCTTGGCAGCCAGTCACACGGGCTTCTCCTGTGTCCTGAGCACGTTGTATGGCAGCAGTAGGGATGTGAACCTGCATGGCTGAGCTCAAAGACAGGGACTGGGCAGGGCAGAGGCGGGGGGTGGCTGACATACTATGGCCTCCAGCAGTGTCTGTTGCTTTCCAGGTTGTGAAGGTTGGGATCGTGGAACCTTCATCTGCCACATCAGGTAACTTCCTTCCTGAGGCCCACGTAAGTGGTCCTTGGGACAGGTAGTCCTGAAGCTTAGTGGTATCTTGAGCTTAAGGGGGCCAGGTCCAGTCTTGCCACTTGTGCTCAGAGTTGGGCCATGCAGAACTCCTGAACAAGGAAGAGAACCTCCTGCCATCTCTGGCCTACCTTTCTCTGCCTGTCCCTCTTCCCTGCCCTACTAGCAGAGCAGCTGACGGCCATCTCAGATCCTGGTCCCCAGGCCTGGCCACAGCCTCACTGATGGCCTATGACTCCTCCCAAAGGTGACTCAGATGATGCAACCCCCTCGGGCCCCAGTGTGCTCTCCTCCACCCCACCATCCACGTCGCCCGCAGCCAAGGAGGCCTCACCCACCCCACCGTCCTCCCCATCGGTGAGCGGAGGCCTATCCTCCCCCAGGTAAATGGCACATCATCACTCTGTTTGTTCTGAGGTGACACCCACCCCCATGTATCCAGCCCATCAGAGCCCTGTGGCCAAGGTCCTGGCTTGCCACTTGCAACCAGAACATGGGGTCGGCCCAGCTTTTTCACTGTGTGCCATGGGACAGAAGTCACTACATTGCGAATGCGTGTGGGCTATTCAGAGCCTGCCCACAGCTCTGCTCATGAGAGTTCTTTCGAAAGGGCCTGAAGGATGTGGGCAGCTATAAGCTCAGACATCCTCCTGGGGGCAGCTGCCAGACCACCTGGATCTCGATCACTGCTCACCCAGACAGAGCCAGGCTTCACTGGGGGTTTGGGCCCCCCCATTGTACACAGGCCTTGAGGCACAGACAGGCATCCCACCCAGCCTGCATGCAGATGGCCCTACGGAGCGTTCTGTAGTCCATGGCCAGCAAGTTGGAACAGGTGCCAGCCACACTTTTGCCTGTGACAGCAGTGCTGCTATCTCCAGAATGGCATCTGTGAGTGTGAGCACCTCCCTCTGCTTTTCACAGCCAGGGTGTCGGCGCCGAACTCATGGGGCTACAGGTGGACTACTGGACAGCAGCACCTCCTGCAGACAGGAAGAGGGATGCCGAGAAGAAAGACCTGCTCACCACCAAAAACACGCTCAAGTGCACTTTCCGGTCCCTCCAGGTCAGCAGGCTGCCCAGCAGTGGCGAGGCCACAGCCACGCCTACCATGTCCATGACCGTGGTCACCAAGGAGAAGAACAAGAAGGGTGAGGTGGGGGGTGGGCTGAGCAGGGCTGGACAGTGGGAGAGGGTGGCCCTTGGTGACTGTTGGGGACAGGGAGACGTCACCCACCAGCACACCCATGTGTAGTTCTCAGTAAACTCGAGGGGCCCAGGGCTGACCTCAAGTGGGGACTGGCAAAACATGCTGGACAACGTAGGCCCCTTGGGCCCGGGCACACGGAGGGTCTGAGCAGCCCTCCTGTCCTACTTGCCTTGAGGAGCTCTGGCCAGCCAGGCCTGAGGGAGCAGTGGACACAGCAGGGCCCTTTTCTTCCCAGTGATGTTTTTGCCCAAGAAAACAAAAGACAAAGATGTGGAATCCAAGAGCCAGTGCATCGAGGGCATCAGCCGCCTGATCTGCACAGCCAAGCACCAGCAGAACATGCTGCGGGGTGAGCATGGCAGCTGGGCAGCTAGGGGTCTGGTTTGTGACCCGTGGTCTCATTTGGTTCCATCTATAAAACATAAAAGCAGAGCGGAGGGGTGGCTCTTGGGGTGACTTTTTAAATCCAGCACAAAAACTGCTTATTTTGTGGTGAAACACATTACACAGTTCACCCTCAGAACACATTCCGATGAAGCATGCACTTGAGTGCATCAAAAGCTTTTGGAATTCAAGTAATTTTTCAATCCTTTCTGTATTTTTCAAAAATTGATTTGTGCATTTCAAAGTGTTTGACAGAGGGTCTTCCCAAAGAACTGATCTAGAGCATGGAGCTCTCTGGGTTCTCCTTTCTGTGAGCTGTGTCTGGTGGCCTCCAGGTGGGAGTCATCCTGGTCTAGCCACAGCAACTTCCAGATGCAAGTGTTTTCAGCAGGGCTTGCAGGTCTCACACCTGACCCCTGTGGGGAGGAGAGCGTTGGACAAGTAGCTTCTGGCTGAGGTGCTGGCCGGGCTTTTGGCTTTGGAGGGCAGGCAGCAGAAAAGGCCTGGTGAGCAGGGCTCCCAGGTGGTCTATGCCTCCAGCTTTGGGCCCTTGTCCTTCTGGCCCACAGGAAGGTGGTGGGCTGGGCGGGCTGGGCGGGCAGGTGGTCAGGCAGCCCTCTCCCACAGTCCTCATCGACGGCGTGGAGTGCAGTGATGTCAAGTTCTTCCAGCTGGCCGCCCAGTGGTCCTCGCATGTGAAGCACTTCCCCATCTGCATCTTCGGACACTCCAAGGCCACCTTCTAGCCCCTGTCACGGAGGGGCCGGCATGGAACCGTGGAGAGGCTGAGGTTTCTGTTAACATTTCAGTTTACTACAAAGACAGATCCTTAAAAACACAAACAGTCTTAAGTAGAAATGTGCTCGCAGCCGGAAACTAAGGTCAGCTCCCTGCTGGGTGCTGAGTAATTGCTCTGCTTATTAACCAGACATCTGGCCCAGCCAACTCAAGGCTGAGGGCCCAGGAAGATGTGTTCCAGCCACAGGAGCCCCCCAGAGCCCACAGCAAGGAGGGTTCTGCCTGTGTCCTCCCCTTTCTAGAAGCCAGGACACTGCTTCCTCAGGGAGCTCAGAGCTTGGTGGTGAGAGGCCAAAGGTTGCAGGGACGCTCAGCTTCCTGGCAGGGATCCCCCCCCATCCCAACACCACCCACACGGGGCTCCAAATAAACTCCAGCCTCCTGGCAGAGGTTTTATAGTAGCAGATCTTTCTAATGCTTTCACATACATGTTACTGTGCAGCTCCCAAACAGCTGTTGCTCTCCTGAAGTCCCCACCAGGCCCTACTCACCCCCATCCCCTCATTGGTCTGAGAGTGAGTTGGCCCAGACTTAGTCTCTCAGGCCCAGGGGTTCCCCACAAATGTTCCAGTGTCCAGGCTGCTCTGCCACACTGTCCACCGACCCTCACCTGCCTGCTGTCTGGGAGTGTCTAGGACTGGTCATATCGGTGTCTGAGGTGAGATTCAGGGTTGGTAAACTGGTGAGCAGGTGCATATGCAGGACCTTAAGCAACTGTGTAGCCAGCGAAGGGTCAGGCAGGCTGGCCTGTCACAGGGCCCAGGTATCCCTGCAGTGCTGAGGACCCTCCTGGCCATGCTTCTGAGAGTAGCATGTTACATTAGGATCCTATTGTGGAGGGAAGCCCTGCCCCCAGCTGCCCATGCATCAGGAGAAGGTTGTCTACCCGACTACCTGCCCAAGCAGGCCGACAGGGTTGGGGGAGCAGCTCAGTGCTGCTTCTCCCGCCAAATCCACACCTGGGATCACCTAGGAAAAGCCACCTGGCTCCCTCCTCCTTGGAAATGGTAGCCCTGCCACAAACACTAGTGGCCATTCCAGAAGCTCTGGGCCTGGTATCTTGAGGGCTGCATAAAACTCTGCTCAGAAAACAGTGCCAAATTCAGGACTGGTGAAGTCATAGAGGGGCCCCATCTTATTGAGGAGAGGATGGCCCATTTCCTTAGCCATGACAAACCTGCTTACCTGCTCCCTTCCCAGGTGGCTGAACAAAGTTGAATTTGTCAGTGCTAGCCATGGGGCTAGCGACTAGGCCTGGGGTCTGCCCCAGTGCCCTGGGTGCAGGCCTTGAATAGTCTGAGAATGTCCTTCCCATGAACCCCTGGTGATATGTTTCCCCCTTCACCTATGACTGGAGCCTGAGGCACTGCCTAGCAGACAGCCCCTCTGCAGGGCCCTTTGAAGAGCTGGGAAAGGATCAGGCTAGCTCAGTGTCAAGTGCTGGGGGCACTGGCCTTCTGGCTTCAGGGCCTGTTTTATCATCCCATCCAGTTTCTTCCTAAAAGTCACCTTTGGATCGCTTCTCGGCCTTTTGGCTAAGATCAAGTGTAAAAGTCACCTTTGGTAGGAAAGGGATATGGCTTGGCTATCTAGCCTCTAGGGCACAAGAGCTGCCCAGCTTCCCCAGTGTGGGCAGCCCTTTCTTGGAGACCATCTGCCCTACGATTGGCCCCACAGCTACACCCTTGCTCAGGTAAGGAGAGCCCCTGGGCAGAACCTCCATCCAGCAACTGGCCCATGGCTGGACCTGCAGAGCAAGTCCCCATCTGTCCTGCACTAAGTGCCATGCGGTCCCTACTACAGCAGGCTCTGTGTCAGTGAAGTGTGCAAGTGGAGGCCTGGGCCAGGCTCCCTTCACTGCCTGTTTCCCCATCAGTTGGAGGGATGGTCACATTTCCCCTCCCTACCTCGTGGAGCTGTTCTAAGGATTCATGGAAAAGCACTTTGACCTCTGGAGGGGTGAGAAGCCAAAGCCGTCTGTCCCACAGCAGATGTGACCAGGGCGGTGGCGGTGGCCGTGGGGGTGGGTTTCCTGTTCGAAGTTGGCTTCTTGGCCTCACTAGTCTCGCCCAGACAGCCCCAGGCTCCCCTGGGCAGGCCGCCACTGACCCTGGCCTTGTCCCTCCCGGCGCCTTGGCTGCCTTGCCCTGAAGAGGGCCCGAGGTCCCAAGGTGGGCCCAGGCCTGCTCGCAGCTCGAAGTGACTGTTTGGTGTCTACAGTGTACGTGTTGCTGATTTTTAAAATGGGAAGCAGGATTAATGTAAATAGACGCTAATCTGTCCCATGTGGACGACTCTAAGGTGCTGACGCGACATTAATAAACTGAGGGCACTCTGGCGTTCGCTGCTCGGATTCCTCTCTACCACGGGGTGGGGTGGGGGTTGCGGGACCGGAAGCAGGAGCTTCGGGGCGAGGCATTGAGCGGAAGTTCCAGAGGGAAGGCTCCCTGCCCCTTGGGCCTTTCGGCATTGTGGTGTCTCCCGGGCTTTCTCGGTGAGCCGTACGGGACCCCACAGACTTCGCCCTCCTCTATTCCCCACCCCACAGGCCCCGCCTCTCTGTTCCGGACCCCCTCAGGCTCCTCCCCTCTTTGTCCTCGATCCCGACGACTCCGCCCCTCTCCGCTGGACCTCACAGACCCCGCCCCACCACCCCACCACGCGTTCCCGTTCCCGGGGGCACTCCCCGGTTCTCTAGTTGTACCCTCCACAGAGCAAACCGGGTGAGTCGGTCAGAAGGAGGGCTGGAGCCCGGGTCCTAGGTGTGGTGTGGGCATGGAGGCGAGGTCGCAGTAGGGAGGCGGCTGAGGGCAGGCGCCCGGAAGCGGGAACCAGGGATCCTAGACAGGGTGTCAGGCTGTGAAAAGCTGGTCGGGTCGTGCAGTGAGCAGGACAGAGGCAGAGAATGGCAGCATTAGCTGACACCTGGGAGGCAGGAGCCGTGGGAGGTCACCCAGAGGGCCCACTGAGGGGCAAGGGTCCAGTCAGGGCCTGGAAGATGCCCCTAGCAGAGCCTCACTTTGCTGCCAAGGGGCCTTGAGAGCTGGGGACCCTGCCCCACTCTATCCTGCTCCGCCTCCCAGAGAGCTCCAAGGTGCAGACTCACCCGCAGGGAGTAGAGATGGACAGCAGGCAGCTGTGTCCCCCAGGGAGGACGTGGCAGTCGCAGTGCCCTGAGGAGTACAGGCAGCCCCCTTCCCCTCGCAGCCCAGCGGCGGCCTGGGGCCAGCCAAGCACCCAGAGCAGCGCTGCGCAAGGACTGCAGACGCAGGACTGGGTAAGCAGGAGGCTTCTCTGGAAATCCAGGCGGGGATGGGGGTTGGGGTGGTTTCAGGGTGTGGAGAAGAGGCCTTTAGGCCCCAGGAGAGAGAGGTACTGTGTGAGGGGCAAGGGGTTTGTCTCTCCCTGTTGCCCATATGGGGACCAAGATAGTTTGCACCCCTTTTGTCTACCCCTGTTGGGGACAGTGGAGCAGCCACCTGAGGCCAGGCAGAGGTTGCAGGGCACATCTGCTTCAGCCCTTACTGTGCCTGTCAGTACCCAGTGCCTCCCATTTCTAGGAGAGATATCCTGAAGTGGCAGAGAGACCGAGGTCCCCACGGCATGGATAGTACCCTCCCTACCAGGGTCAGCTGCCACTAAAACACCCATGGCATCTCTGCTTGTGACAACCCCAGACTGGAAGCAAATCCCCTGTCTCCCACCCTTGAACAGCAAGCAGTGAGTGTGGTTTGTACACAGTAGTAGTGGCCAGAGGGTCAGACACAGCTGCACAGACCTGAGGACACTCCACAAGCAGAAGAAGCCAGGCCCCCTGTGTGGTTATATCTAGGGAAGGGTCTCAGCCCAGCTAGATGGTCTAGGCTGTGACCAGACAAGTGCTCAAGGGGCTCCAGACCATGCAGCCAGGCCACTGAGGGGAGCCTGCCAGGCCATGCTCCGCAGTGGATGTGTCTGCACATGTGCTCACTGGGCCAGAAGTGGAGGGGGACAAAGCTAGCTCCAAGCTATGTGGCCACGTTGTGCCCTCCCAGGCATGTCCTCCAGGACCCAGTGCCTTCAAGGTTCCAGAGAGGTTGCCAGGTGCACAGTCGGTGTAGCAACCAGGCAGCAGATGCCTCAGCTTTTGTGAGGCCAACGTTGTATGACAGGCAGCCTAGACCCCAGGCGCCAGTGTAACCACCTGCTGAAGACTGCCCAGGAGGAAGAGGGATGTGTGGCTTCCATCCTGGACAAGTGATGAGGTGATAAGGGAAGAACCACAGGGCCCTGTAGCTGAAGAGGCAGGGATGTGGAGAGACACTGGATTGACACCAGGGTTCTGCCTGAGGACAAGGGGTTGCTGCAGCATCTGTGACACCCTGGCCCACCTTTGGGGTTGGCTCCTGTGCAGTGTTCTTGGGCCTCTTCTGCTCTCTGGCCCTGCTGCTTGTTGTGGCCCTGAGGGATGCCCAGGCTGTAATCTCTGACTCTGTCCTGCGAGGTGTCTCGTCTCTGTCCCCCAGGTACAGAATACTCTTTTTCTGGGTCTTCCCACAGCTGGCCTCCTCTCAGGCGTCACCTCCTGAGGGCACGCTAGCCCACCTAACATAAGTTCTGTGTCCCTCTGCCTTCCAAGTCTGAGCCCTCAGAGCCACCTCCTCTTCTGTGCTTGACATGGGTCCCAGTTCCACACCCAGGGCTGGACGTGTGTTCACAGAAGGCAGCGACCTTGGACTGAGGCCACAGGCCAAGGAGGCTTCCCCCAGCAGAGTCCCCAGGTATCCAGCCCAGAGCAGGGGGCAGAGCTCCAGACACAGCACTTGTGCTTCCTTACAGTCCAGTGATGTGACTGCAGAGGGTTTGAAGGGAGATGGGAGCCACAGCACGGAGAACTGGGAAGGAAAGTTTGGGGAGGAAGGCAGCAGAAGCAGGACCGCTCTGTCTGCCCAAGTGCCTAATGCTGGCCTCATCTTCCCAAGTGGTAAATAAGCAGCCAAGAAGCACTTGAAGACTGTGTGACTGTCCTGGACAGTCTGGAAGAATGGACTGGGATCCATGCACAATACAAGGGTTCGGAAGGAGGGGAACAGTAGTCCATTGAGATTAACTAGCGAAGAAGGCCTGCTTACATTGGACAGTAGGAGTGACATTAGGAAATAAGCAAAGCCTGTTTGAGAGAAACTTTAAAACCCTCCAGAAGAAGATCTGACCGAAGAATGAAGATACGTTCATGAAGAAGAATTCTTGCCAGCATAGGAGGATTCTGTGGAGACATTACACAGTTCTATATATCACAATAAAAATGCTATAAACACTTATTTCCTCTTTTGATCCCACAAACCAGCCAAAGTTCCTATGGAAAAATAACAGGCCGGGAATTTAGCTCAGTGGTTTTGCTGCCTGCCTCGAAAGCTCAAAGTCCCAAGTTTGATCTCCGGTACCAAAAAAACCCAAAACAAAACAACCTATGGAAAAATAAGAATACTTAGGATAGCTTCAACCTAGCAGACAAGAATTTCTGTTACAAAGCTTTGATTGCCACATTCATGAAACTAAGGTAATATAAATATCTGGATAGGGAAGATTAAATAGTCACTGTTTGCAGCACTATATAATCTACCTAGAAAAATCTCAAGTCAGTTAAAACATTTTTGCACACAAAAGAACAAGATTGATTATATGGTTACCATTTGAAGCTTACTAGTTTCAATACACTAAAAATAAGCAACCAGAAAATGCAATGGAAAAGGATCCCATTTACTGTAGCAACATGAAATATGAAATCCTTAAAATTAAATCTGTTCTTGGGCCAGTGAAGTGGTGCTCTCCTATAATCTCAGCTACTTAGATGGCTGAAGCAGCAAGACTGCAAGTTTAAGGCCTGTCTGAGCTACTTAGACCCTGTTTCAAAATAAAAAAAAGTGTTCCAGATGTCACTTAGTGGTAGAGCACTTGTCTAGCATGTATAAGGCTCTAGGTTCAACCCAAGCACCACAAAAGAAGGAAGGGAGAGAGGGAGGGAAAATCTGTTTGTGGGGGTGGGGGGAGCATGTTAAGACAGGGTCTCACTGTGATTCAGGCTGGTTTTGAACTCACTGTGTATCCCAGGCTGGCCTTAAACTTGTAATCCTCCTGCCCCAGACTCCCAAGTGCCAGGATTATAGGTGTGTGCCACCACTCCTGGCTTCTTCAGTACCTATCCAAGGAACACTAAGTATTACTGAATAACATATGGGACACTTTATGGAAATATGTACCATGTTGCCTTTTGGCCAGAACCACCATCTTCCAGTAATTTGCCAAAATGACAAACAGGGAAAGAGGAGGGGAACCCGGTATGTATATGTTCTCTAGACCTTTTAGAAAACAGGGTTCCTTTGGCCACATACATGCAAATCTACAAAAAGAGTGATATTGTAGACATCAAGGGAATGGGTACTGTTCGAAAAGGAATGGCACACAAATGTCACCATGGCAAAACTGGAAGAGTCTACAGTGTTACCTAGCATGCTGTTGGCATTGTTGTAAACAAGCAAGTTAAGGGCAAGATACTTGCCAAGAGGATTAATGTGTGTATTGAGCATATTAAACACTCAAAGTCGAGATAGCTTCCTGAAACAGGTCAAGGAAAATGATCAGAAAAAGAAGGAAGCCAAAGAAAAAAGGTACCTGGGTCCAACTGAAGTGCCAGCCTGCCCCACCCAGAGAAGCATACTTTGTGAGAACCAGTGGGAAGGAGCCTGAGTTGTTGGAACCTATTCCCTATGAATTCATGGGATAAGCTGGAGCTGGAGCTCTGCCGTGCAGCACCTAATGAGTGGCTGAATCCCCTAAGCCCTACTTAAAAATAAAATATCATCCTGTTGGCGTGGGGATTTAGCTCAGTGGTTCTGGTGCCTACCTTGCAAGTGCAAGGTCCCAAGTTTGATCCCCGGTACCAGAAAACAAACAAACAAAAAATCATCCTGTGTTGTAAGGATGGATTTCTTAATTGAACAGGTATATGGTGACTTTACCTCAGAGAAACAAATATTTGGAGCAGATTCTCATTATACCCAGTTAATTGTGTCAGGTCTTTACTCTTCAGTGTTTTTCTTGCTGAAAGATGTGAGGTATTGTGCAGATGTATACCCAAATGGCCAAATATTTATGAAATATTTATATTGGCTTGAAGATCCTCTAAATCACCTTGGGGACAAGATGTATCAAAATAAATGGAAGTCAGTATATGGCATTTCAGTTAAATTGTTTAAAGCACCCTTAAAAATAAAGAAATATGTACCGTGTTATTGGATGGGCATTTAATTTTTGGAGGGGTACTGGAGATGGCACCCAGGACCGTGCACTATGCTACATTCCTAGGTTTTCATTTGTTTTTATTTTGAGACAAGATCTCACTAAGTTGATAAATTGCCCAAGCTAGGCTTGAACTTGTGATCCTCCTGCCTAGTCTCTCAGAGTGCTGGGATTATAGGGTCACACTTGGCTATATTTAATGTTTTAAACCTACCAAGTTTCCCAAAAATAATTCAGTGCGATATATATTTAAAATTTTTCATAAATGGAAAATTTTACTCAAAATGCATGTAGTGTTTCTATTTGTCTTTGCTACATACCAAATTGTCCCCAAAACTTAGCACTTAAGACAAAAGGTATTTTTGCCTCGGTTTCTGTAGACCAGGAATTTGAGAGCTGCTTAGCTAAATGCCTTTGCTTTGGTCTGTCAGAACACTACGATCAGCCCAAGGCACAGTCATTTGAAAGCCTGAGTGTGGCTGGAGGCTGCTTTTGTGTGGCTCCCTCCAAGGCTGGTGGGAGGCCCTGATCCCTCCCCATGTGGGTCACAGCCTGGCAGCCCCTTCCACCCCCAGTGGAGAGAGCAAAGTGGAAGCCACAGTGCCTTTTATGCTTCATCATTCCCACCATACCCTTTGGTTACAGTGGTCATGGCACTTCCTGTGGAAGGGAGTGGTACAGGGTATGACTCCCAGGAAGGGAGGCTTCCGGGAGGAGGCTGGCTGTCCTAGGCAGAAGATCATACTGTAGTCCTGAGGGCCAGCAGAGAGCCCAAGCTGGGTAGATGAAGTGTGGTCACAGTGAAGCTGCAGAACCCCAGAGACAGGGCCTGGGATGTAGCTCAGTGGTTCCGCTGCCTGACTCGAAAATGCAAGGACCCAAGTTCAATCCCTGGTACCAAAAAAACCCAACAATTTAGAACTCCAGAGACAAGGCCTCACAAGCAGTGGAGAAAGGCAGAGACCCTTCAGAGGGGCAACAGAGAGACTGAAGCTGCCTTTTGACAGTCAGGGAACTTGTTATAGAGAAGGATGGCATGCTTCTGCTAAGAGAAAAATCATAATCAGCTTTTGAGTTATGTCCAGCCAAATTATCTCTTACAAAGAGGGCAAAAAAAATTAAAAGCAAAAAAGAATTTCCCCCCTGGAGACTGTCACCTCCATTCTGAGGATAGACATCAAAGAGCAGGAAAGTGATCCTAGCCTGAAATAGACAAAGAATTAGGATATTTTTTTAAAAGACAGGGCTGGGAATTTAGCTCAGGGGCACCGTGCCTGCCTTGCAAGTACAAGGTCCTGAGTTTGATCCCAGTACCAAAAAGAAAAAAGCTGAGCCCAGTGGCACACATTTATAATCCCAGTACTCTGGGAAGCTGAAGCAGGAGGATCACAAGTGTGAGCCCATCCTGAGCAACTTAGTGACCCTGTCTCAAAAAGGAAAAGAAAAAAAGATTGGGAGGTATCTCAGTGGAAAAAAAAAAGTGGACAAATTGGAATTAGCACTGATGGGCACAGCAGTCATTGGGCATCCTTCATAGAAATCCAAGATGGGATTAGGATAGACATCAGGTGGGTCTGTGAGGGAGCTGAAGGAGTCTGAGTCCCTTGTATCCCATGAGAACAGGATGGAGATCTCTGTCAGTGTTAGGCTATGATGGGTTTGCCTGCACAGTGTGCTTGCACCTGAGAACTGAAGAGCCATGTCCCAACAAGGAGAAGGGAGGATGGAACAAAAATAACAAGGAGTAGAGCCAGAAGAACCCAAGAGAGGAAAGAGAAACATAAAATAGCAAAACAAACAACACCAGATACACAGCAGATATAATTACCCATATAATTTACTTCAGTAAATGAAGATGGACTAAATGTTCCAGTTAAAAGATAGGCACCATCAGAATGGATTGAAAACCCAATTCAGGGCCGGGCATTTAGCTCTGTGGTGCCACCACCTGCCTCGAAAGCACAAGGTCCCAAGTTTGATCCCCAGTACCAAAAAAAAAAAAAAAACTAAAAAGCCCAATTCAGCAATGTGTATGTGAATGTGGGTGGAGTGAAGCAGACCCAACCCAGGGCCATGAAGATGGACTGTGAACAGCCTCACATCTGTTCACATTGTATTTTGGTGTCAGACTCAGCAAATTTACTTTGAAATTTTGGAATTGGAATGTGTGGACCCTCACTATACTCAATAGGAAGAGAGGGTCTGTCAGACATTCTTGAGTGAAGAAAGCAAGTTGTAGAATTACCTATGCTGTGTGACTTTGTTTACTCAGAGTTCAAAGACATGCAAAAGTAAATGTATTTTTAAGGTATTCATTAAGATATAATTTGGAGGGCTGGGGATTTAGCTCAGTGGTTCCAGCGCCTGCCTTGCAAGCGCAAGATCCCAAGTTCGATCCCCAGTACCAAAAAAAAGAGATATAATTTGGAAAAAATAAAGATGCTTTTAAGTCTTACTTTGAAAAGAGATCGTGCAATGATTTTGAAAGTAGAGCAAAGCCTTGTTTGCTCTAAGCTCTAGCAATTCAAATTATGTGGTAATGGGCCGGGGATTTCGCTCAGGGGTTCCGCTGCCTGCCCCGCAAGCTCAAGGACCCGAGTTTGATCCCTGGTACAAAAAAAAAAATCAAATTATGTGGTATTAGGACAGAAGGTGGAGATACAGCCACAATCTAGGACAAATGATCCAGAAATCAGCTGTGAATTATTCTGGAGATTTTATGCTTAGCATGGGATTTCAGAACAGTAGGAAACAGACTTTTCAATAGATGGTATTGGAGGTGATTAGCTATCCATTTACAAGATGGTAGGGTAGAGCCCTGCCTTACACTACCTATACAATACACAGCATTAAGCCCAAACCACAGAAGCCTTGAGAAAATGTGTATGAGCTGTGTAAAATCCCAGAGTGAGAAATGCTTATTTTAGGTCAAACATAAAATCCTTGAAGGAAAAGCCTGGCAGATTTTTTTTTTGGTACCGGGGATCGAACTCGGGTCCTTGCGCTTTCAAGGCAG